GAAGATCATAAATTTAAATGGGTCTGTTCTATTTGCTCCAACGGACACTGACAATCCCATTTGTTCAATAGATGAAAATAAATTTGATTTCTAGATAATCAATGATGAATTATTTGGATCTTGATTGAACTTTCATCAAGAAAATATTCACCCTAACTTGAAGCCCCCTGTGTGAATTAACACACAGCCTATATTACCTTATTGGTAAGACATTATGTACAAGGATAATATTGTAAAGAGAGGACATTTATATACACCTAGCCATGGAATAACATACTGATGAAACCATATAGACATCCCCGAAACATGTTGGAACAGTGTAATCTGAATGTTATGTCTACTATATCAGGTCTGTGGAGAACAGATCCTACAATACATTCCCTGTGACATGAATCTGACTCGGTCAGTCGCTGAGATCGCTCTGATTACAACCTCTGTGATCCGTAACATTAACGCACACAAATAGTACCTGGCATGACAGGTGTATAACTGTATGTCCTGTTCTTCAAAGAAGATTAAACAAGTTTTGTTCTTCTCAGATCTGTAAACACACACCCATTACTTAGTCCACAGAGGTTTTATGCTCTGTATGACATAACATGTTTTACCTTTAGAATGGTGTATGTACAATACAACGAAAAGCTAGATGTTTGACTTTGGTCATAACCTCATCCACCAAGTTCATCAACAGAGTCATTACCTACACCAGCACATAATAACACAGCAATTCCCACCAGAAAAAGTAACATTAAGCTGTTATCCCGATGATGATCGGTGATAGGTGTTCAGTCTATCTTTATTACCTACTAACAGCAAGTAAGTTGCTTGAATTGCCCCAGCATTGTCCCAAACAGGTCACAATCCCTCTCAGCTGCTGCCTGTACACTGCTGTGAAGTGGCGTTAGTCTTATCAGCACTTGCTGTGGTACACACCATTACCTGAGAGTCACCTCAAGGAGCAGCTGACACTCCCCCAGGCTGTCTAGATCTGTCCTCATGCTCCATGCTTATCTAGAGTGGACTGAAGGAGTGCACTAAATGGAGAATCTGGGCTTTGTGACAACCAGGCATGGCTGATCATCTGTTGGGGACTTGAACCTACAGCCAGTGCTACAAGACTTCAACAAGCTGCCACTACACTCCATCCCTGTGTCGACCTGTGAAGATCTGGGTTAGATTGGTCTTCAGTAACCCATGCTTGTCGTAAGTGGGACTATCGGGCTGTCAGGCTCGCTGACTTGGTTGACACATCGTATCCCAATTGTGTAGGTCGATGTTCATGCTGTTGATCACTATATTGTCTGGTCCAGATTCAACCAACCCAGCAGAGGTCAACACACCAGTCATGTTAGCCAACCATGAGGATAAGAAACAGAGCTACATCGATATCACTACCAGCCACGATGGATCAGAAGGATAAGCTGTATACACCAAATATATGAAGGCAGGATTGGGTGTTAGTTGGTTCAATCCCAGATGGTACATCAGAATGACAAAATTGATCACAACATGGTACCTATTATTGTATTTTCTTGAGTGTGAAAAGCACCAAAATGTTTTGACATTTAATATCATTGCTAAAGAAATGCTATCCTTTTCACTTAGATTTGTAGTGGTGGAGCAAGTGTGAAATCGCAGACATAATCATAATAACAGGAGTTGAAATAAAGACTGATAAGAAAGTAAATAACTTGGTAGGCTCTTCATAAATAACACACAGCCCCACATCTCTCCAAACATCTCATACTTCACCTCATGTACACAACGACAGATACCAAGTTCTGCTTGATCACTTTTGACACATTTCAAACATTTTTACACTTCTTAATTTGTTACTACAACATTAACAATAACATGACTTAGTGAAGAATCCAACCAAATTCCAATATCAATGTCATGAATATTTTCATTTATCTGTGCCGCAGGAAAGTTACAATGAAATTCATTTAAAATGGAAGGTAAAGACTGAAAACTATAACCAATGAACATAAGAAACAGGATTATATGTTTTAAGACATGGACCTGGTTACAGTATAACAGACATCATCCTACAGCAGGAGGCCAGTTCTTGTGAATGTGAAGACACCTTAGATACTTACTTACATCAAGCATGCAGGAATATCCAGGACTGTTAGATTCTCAAATCTGTCTTCAGTGATGAATGTCATGTAAACTTTCCCCATATCTCCAGCAGCGATACAACAGAAGAACATGGTCACCAACACAAAGAAGCATCTCTCATATGTTGCCTCGTCTCTATCTGTGTATCTCGTCACCGTGTGCTAGGGTAGCAGACCTCACTTCTGTGTTAACACACAACATAACACAAAGCATATCTTACAGGGCTGCTTCAGGACTGTTGACAAACTGCTGTGACTTTCCTACGAAACTATATGGTCTATTCCGAGTTAATCTGTTGACAAACATGTGTCCATAAAAGCATAGCCTACGAGTCAAAATAGCAGCGAAGACAAACATCACAAACCGCCATAAATCTGTGTAAACGCGGGGACCTCAAACACAGTCCACGATCATGTCAAAATAATCATAATTCTCGGGATGATTTGGAACAAGAAGCTGGGTTCTTGACGGCTTTGTATTTGCCTGTGTTTTTAATATGGGATGACAAACACAAAATACAAAGAATCTCTGTTGACTCTGGCGCTAATCTAGACAAACAATGGCAACAATTGCCTATTATATGTAGCGGGAACCGTTGATGTTTCACTGTCTTTCACAAAGTAATTACCATAGAGATATGGGTAATACAGAATGACGTGACATATATTGATTACCATATCACTTGCTGGGGTGATGAAATTGATGAGTTTTGTGGTTGCTATAAACGTAGCTATAGACATGTCTGTATTCATGTCATAAAATGTAATGACATCACAAAGCATATCAAACATACATCAATACATGTCGTAACAATGATCAATATTGTGTTTTACAGCAAACTGTCCACACAGTTAGAGCAATGATCAAATTGATAAATATTTTACATTTATTTTTTTTGCTTTTTTGTGTGATGCTTGCAAATCTATTGCAGGCATGAATAATTAATGGATAGCAGTTGGAGGCATGTAGAATATGTGTTATTAATATCTATTAGTTGCCACAGATATGTCAAAATCGAAAAGCAAATATGTTTAGTCATGATTATACCTAAATTCTGTGGTGAATTTTTACAATGATGTTTTTACTGAGGGACTTCTTATCACATCATAAACTTTACATTCTTATCATACTTAATTAACATGTTTTTATTACTATTGAAATGGTAAATTGTTAAACATCAGTGTTCATACTACCCTCTCACTTTATTTCTACATGACATTTTGGACATTTCTTGCCATACAATAAAGGATTTGAATTAATAATATTTCAATTCAAGAAAAACATTCAGTTTACATTCACTCTGAGTTTCAGTCACAAAGGTAGCGTTCCCCTCTCTGACATTAATTCCCTCCACTATTCACTTCACCTTTCATGGTTGAGACGTCTCAGTGATACACTCACATAACACGGGACACTTGGAGTGTCGCCTATACAAGTTAACTGAAATGTACAACTATATATCACTCACACACAACAGTAAATTCACTCTGCTATTGAGATCTACCACTCAGTGAGCATAATCCTTATATTATAATCGTTGAGATATGTATCCCAGTGTGTTCCAACTCATATATCACCCGGATAATGCTATCAGCTGATAATGTACATCAGAGGCTCAAACAGCTGGTGAAATTGACATGACATGACTGATTGTCCATTTCATGTTGTTTTCGACCATGTATAGCCTTCAATAAGGGCTGTAGTATTCTCCCCTATTGCATCCATTGTTACCATCAACATGTTTTATTATGCTGTTCAAAAACAAATTGACAATTTCCCACGGAGGAAATAAATATTTTGTATTAGCGGTACCATGGTGTGGACCTGCTTCATTCATTTAATACATGTTACCAGGAAGAAATCAATGATTCACAGTACATTAATTAGCACAGGGTTTTCACAACTGGACTCGAACCACTTGCACCCACTGACAAGCTGTTTTTCCTCTGAGTCAGTGAAATTAGAAACATATTTAAACAATGAGCAGTGAATGAGTGTAGAGTCAATGTCCGCTACCTAAGAAACATTAATGGGTACCTGAATGGCGACATCTTTAAAGGTACCTTTGGAATGGAATTATACCTCAAACAATAAACGATTGCAAAATTCCGCATGGTAATTGCCTAATTTCATTGCAGTTCCCATAGTCTCAAAATAGAAATATGTTATTATTCCTGTAGATATATGATATTATTCCTGTGTACTGTGTGAAATGAAGGCTACATCAAAGATGAATATGATTTTTGGATGGTTTGTGTCTGGTATAAAACACTGCGTGAGAAGTACATACCTACTATGCTTACATCATACCCTCCATGTAACATATATTATATGCTTTTAGCATCAACGGATGTGAATGTCGCTAGAAACCTGGCTATGTATAATTATGTAAATTGTTTCAGAAGGACTCATGTTGATTAATTATATATATTTATGTCTTGCCTTGTACATTATATGTTATCTGACCACCTGTATAAATATGGGCCTATATTCTTCAGGAATAAAGATGTATCTATTTAATGCATTATAACCTGGTTTTTGCATCCGGTCACCAAACAATTCCAGAAAGTAGAACAAATTTCAAATGTAAAGAAGAGTTGAAATTTGTAACAAAAAACCTCATTTCTTCTGACATTTACAGTTTTGAAAGCACAAAATATTCAGTAGTTGATTAATTATGACTGACTAATGATTTGTGTTCATCTTTCACTGCTAGTCATGCAAGGGCTGATATTAAAGATACCACTAGCACCATGCTATACAGGCACCTGATGTAGTCCTACTTGTCAGTATGTAATGTGTAAATTAACATTCTACCACATTGTTGATGTGATGCAAATTACCATTTCTAAAAGACTATTGATTCCATTGTTGATGACATCACAATGACAATGACATTGCAGTTTATACCTGTTCATGTCATGTTGACCTGACTTCAGGGCCCAGGTTTCCATATACAAGAAACTTCTACAATGTTGGTGAGTACTAAATAGAAAACAAGTGGTGACTACAACCCTGCCTGTCACCCTGACATGACAACTGTGTCAGTGTCCTGTATCTCCATTGCTCTCACCTACAGCCATCCAGCGTTCGAAATAGCTACTGGCCCACAAGCCAAATGCTAGCTGATTGTGAATCGGGCCAGTTACTGTAAATATATTAAGAAATGCAAGATTTATGGATGTCTACTTCTTTATTGTGAATAACACGATGTTTCAGAATGTATCCTTGCTCCTTCATCAGCAAAATGTCGTGTTATTCACAATAAAGAAGTTGACATCCATAAATCTTGCTTTTCTTATACATTCCACTTATAAATGCCCTTCAAAGACAATAATATATTCTTAAAGCTATCCTGACAGGCTAGCTGAAAATCTCAGAATATTTGTTCATTATTTAATGCACATTAATATGATGTAGTCAATTATTAAGGTGTTAAAATTCCATCCGCAAACTTTTCATGAAAATCTGAGTTTTTGTGTTTGTTTGATTTATATTGTTTCCAAGTGTGACAATAACTTACCATCTTCAATTACCAAACATCACTCCAATTCTGACTGGTGTACATTTTGATATTGATATTTTGCAGGGCCATGAAGTATGATGTGGGGTAGAGACATGTTTACTTAACTAGCCCTCCTGGCCAGTGACTTTTCAAAATTAGTTCATACACTGCAGCCCTCCTGACATTCAAGTTGTAAAACTTGACCATGTCTACTCATGTTACCTCGCTACTCTGCACATAGAAACATAAAACACAATGTCCAGTCATCACATTGTACCACTGAGACCCACACTAACTCAACCAACATGTCTAAGAGTCGATATTCCACCATGTCCTCAGTACTCAATACAACAAAAACTTTAATTTACAGACTGCTGTCAAATAGCTACCTGGACAAGATGTGGGCTGTTCAATAACACATTCTCTAATCAAAAATATATACCTGCTTCATAGAATTCCAAATTATACAAAACTGTGTGATTGTATGATGAGTTTACATGGTGTACAGTATGTGAGGGATCTCTGAATCAATTAGAAACAATCAACATTACAAGCGACTTTTGCTTATCAAACGAAACATTTACTGATATCGTAAACAGCATATAGTTTTGACAGCAGATTTTGTACAATGCCCTGACATCATCAATCACATTACTCACAAGGCTGTGATATCATAAATTTGATGACGTCACAATGCTATGATATCACAGCATTGCAAGTCTAATGGCAGTACCGTGTTCAGAGATGTACAATTTTCATTGAAAACTAATGAATGATTTTTGATGATAAATAGAATCTCACCCTCCTGTCTCCTGATATCAATTACATCAACACTCTTTGATAAAAGTAAAAATACCCTCTACAAGCCTCAGATATTTGTAACTTTATCAACTCCTGTTGATAGAATTGATATCAGTAGACACATGGGTGTGATTCTCTATATATCAATGTATCAGAAAACATTATCCTCACCAGATTTCAGCAGAGCATGAAATTGGCAAACAGTTGATGACAGCAATGAACATGTTATAAAGATTTGATATAGCAATTCTGACTAAGCACAGAAGAAAAAAAGGCCAGTTCACCCACAAAAAACAATCTCATCAGTCTTATGCAAGCTACTTTCAACACCCTTAATCTTTCCCATCTCTACCTTTTACACACATCACTCCAATTCTGACCGGTGTGACATTTTGACATTGATGTTTTGCAGGGCCATGAAGTATGATGTGGGTGCACATATGCACACACGCACACACGTACGCATGCACGCACACACACTCACACACAGTAAGCAGGGTAAGAGATTGTCAAGGAGGTTGAGCAGATATAATGGAGCAGTGCTTGTAAGCTATGATTGTCAGCCCTGACCCGTCATGCTCAGACAGATATCATTAGTTTTACCCCTGAGTGATCCCTGGAGATCAAATATAATGGATAATAAGTATATCTACCTGAGGAGACAATTAGATCTGCCCAATTTAGGATCCAATTCCTGGTCAGCAATCCACATCCAGGTGTTCGGCGTGGATCAAAGACTATGGTGTTGGGGCTATAGAATGGAACTGTATGGCGTCAGAAACCTGCTCTCTGTAATTCACCTTGATTACTCATCTGGAAGATAGTGCCGTGATCGGGGGTATGTTAGAGACTTGGGTGCAGACAGGTCCGCTTCAACCATATGACCTGTGTATTGAACTCGACTCGGCAACAATCAGGGAAAGAGTATTTAATGAAGCGTAACAAATCTATTAACTCCACAAAGCGGCATCTAATCCGTGGAGGCCAATAGAGAAGCTCCCAACACAACAATCCTTTGATTATTGGCCTTCTTCAACACACCTTTAAATCATTTTCACACTACGAACTCAGAGGTCTAATCCATCTTTGGGTAACAAGTCAATGAATAGAGACAAGAGGTTTCCAATCAGAAATATTGAAAAGAGTTCCCAATCTAGAACAATATCGAAGTTCCCAGCAGGAGTCTGTCTTCAAGCTTCACTTTAACCCACCAATGACTTAGGGCAAGCAAATTTCTTTGTCACTTGCCGACTATTTAGTTGAAACAGTTGTAAGCAGTTGTACGCAGCCTCAACACTTCACTGACTAAGACAATGCTCGGTACTGTTCTAAATCCCGAAAATCTGATCAATTCACCAAAAATTCAGTTGTCAATAATCAACGAATAAACAACAAGGGCAAAGCAAAGGTATTACCTCTCTTTATTGTGGACACAGCAAACGTTCGCGTACAATGGTCAACTATTGACAGACATGTTGCGAACTGTCCAAACTTGGTTTCAGAGGCAGAAATTCACTTAATTCTCTATTGTGGTGAAAAGCCTTTGTGAGAGCCGCTGTCTTGACGGACTGTCAAACTGTAAACACGGCTTGTGGCGAGTGGGGCACTACTAAAAAACTTCTCTATTGTACTTCACTCATGATGAACTCTTATCATTCTGACAAGAGTCTGTCGCTACAACCCAAACAGCCTCCAGACATCAGGCCCAGACTGGCAAAAACCACAATTTGAAAATTACTAAATTATCAGGTAAATGAAGATGGGAGGTAAAATAAACTGACACTTGGACAAAAGGATCAAATTGGATTGTCTGAAACATTAACAACAGTGACAAACAGTCATTCAGTTTGAAAAAAAGGTGTTGTGATAGATACATAAAGGCAAGCACACGAGGGCTGTCCATTTGGGCCGAGAGTCGAGGTCAGAGAAAGTTAAACAGACTGGACTACATAAGGGCTTTTTCTATCATGTTTCACTGGCAGCTTCCACATTATTGTCTATGTAAACACGTACAGAATGGGGAACACCTGTACAACATGAGACATCAAACGTCCCTGGTCGAATACAGGTGGACAATGCTGATACAACTACTTGGTACAATTTGCACCTACAATGTTTTTATTGCACATGGACTAATGAAAACTTCATCAGAAAGAAGAATAAAGTTATTGATTTGTGAAATAAACAGTTTTATAGTGTAAGAACAGATGTTAATTTAAAAGAACACAATTAATTCATAAGTACAACAATAACATGTCATTTTTGCCTGAGGCAATACAGTATTCGGTTAATATATTTTACTCCTTGATTAATCATGAGCTTAACAAATAAAATTTATGATATAGAACATTAAAAGGTTTTTAATTGAAATATCTATGCAATGTGAACATTTTGTCTCCAATTACAAAACATTGATTGAAATTACTCATTCTAATGTGCATTCATACATTAAAAAATGAGTAATACAAACATCGCCTCACTCAATTAAATAGAATCATATTACAGGCGATGATATAAATAATCATTGACCTATTATCAAGACTATGTTCTCCAATTCTAGCTCACCACATGGAAGAAATGTTTCAAAAAGGTTGGGAATAGGTCAGGCATAATGAGCCTGTGCAACTTTCCAGGGTGGTAAGTAAAAGCCCATCTACATAGGTTAACATAGCAACATTAGAGGAGATTAGTTGAGGTTTACCTGTAAATCCTGCACAAAGTCCAACCATTGTGTGTTAGCTGTTGGTCTGCTCACACTTGTCAGTTATCTCGCCCCAGTACAGCTGCTAAATCTTCAGATTATCTCACCACTGAAAATGGGTTTGTGTCTTTGCTTTGTCAGGATCAAAGGGTTATCTGCCCTTTCTCTATCTGGCACTGGGGACAGAAGGAAGAAAGACGATTCTGATGTCAGCATAACCTTCCAGTGACACTCAAAGCTTCCTTCTCGCTTCTTGGGGGAAAAACATATTTCTGTATGGCCTCCTACAGGGAGCTATGCTGAGCCCTTGTTTTTCAAATACAATCACAATCAATGTCCTAGTCCTGTTGTTTTGGATTACTTTCCATGTCAAGGTGAAACATGTAATAATTTGCAAGTTAGTTAGATAAATACATGCAGTGATTGTAACACTTTGAAGATGTACGTGACTGATGGGGAAGGGAGATAATACAGATTCACATATAGCACCACAGCTAGGAATTCTAAGTAAGCCAAGGAGCATATTGCTGTTTTCATGTTGGCTATCTGGGCTTCTAGTTCACGCAGTTACTTTAGTAGTTTTGTATAAAATATAAACATTGGTTTTCTGGTTGGTTGGCATTAAAAAATCCATGAATGACATAACCATGCTGTTGGTGCTTATGTCATATTTATATTTATTATCTACGAGGGCGAAAATATCGGGGTTCATATTTTTCATATGATGCCCTAAGGCAAAATAACACTTTGTCATGGTGACATGACGTCGTGAACAATGCTATGACGTCACGTTTCTTCTGTGACGTTGCGTTCTACATGCGGCGACGGCAGGTAGCCAGCTATGTTTGAAAGTAGATCTGGATTTATTTTCCTCAATTTGACGACTTCGATAATAAACAGAATATTATATTCGTGCCTATATCATACTATGTTTACGACACTCGTGCCTAAATATCGGTATGGCCCTCGCTCTCGCTCGGGAAATTCCAACATTTAGGCACTCATGTGGTAAACATAGTATGACATGGGCACTCATATAATATCCTCTATTTATGTTTATTTCATCACTTTTAAAACAAACATATACATTCATCATTATCACTAAGACAGACCAGCATGCTGGAAAGTCACTCCCTAACCCTTACAGTGTTGTAGTCATGGTATCAGCATTTAAGATATACCATGAACTCTGCTCTGTTATCTCTTCAAACCAACCATGTACTGTATTAGTGAATCTTTAAGGACACAAAACAAAGATTGTGTCCAATGATTGTTTGATTTTTAGGATTGGGTATTTAACAACTGACTAACAGTTTCAGTATTTGTGAGTGATCTAAGTCAACTTTGTCATACTTGAATCATCATTAAACAGCCAATATTGACATGAACAGATCCCCCATAGCTCCAGAAAATCCTCTCCCTCACATTATCCAATGCCTCCTCTACTGCTAAAAAAGCCATATCTAATGTCCTGTAATAAGCCACATTATCAGTGTAACAATGACTCACAAATATAATCTTGACATCACATCAGCAAAGATTTATTCCTAATTTTAATGCCAACCTCGAGCTACTTGGACATTATTGGCTGAGCTGTATAACACCTCGAGAACATCCACCAGCAATCATGAACATATATGACCGATTTCCTGTGCCATAATTTACTGATATCACCCACTTTTGGCACTAGTGTACTGTACAAACAATGGGCAGATGAACGATGCCCCACACAACATCTTTAATAAAGATCAAGGGAGATTATCAGTGTTTTTCGTCTTATCTTGGACAGGCCCTCATACCTCCACTTGACTCGATCCCTGTGAGGAGCTAACCGACTCCATAGGGGTCGTGCACATGCAAGCGATGGCTTTACGATATGTTAACTCAGTAATATCAAATAGCATCTCATAAAACACCACTGAAGTCCAGGGCAAGAGCTAAGTTTGCTCTTAAGATGATATCAAATTTGATTTGACTTGAGACCAGTTTTCATGTACTTTTAATGGTTTAATTGTCTACCATTGGGAGAGTTGGCGGGTGGATGGTAAGTGGAATATTGGCATATTTATGGTAAGACAATGGGACGGAGACAAGGTTATTACATATGACTTCATTCAACACATACTTACTACATGTTTCATGGCAATATTAGTTAATAGGGCCGTGTATGTTGCACATAAAAGTTTGAAACATTTATAACCTATGTTCAGCATGACCTGTACTGACATATTTCTGCCTCTTTGTTTCATAGAAATGACTTTGCTGTACATGTTTTCCAGAAAGTCATTATGGGCACATGAATTATCCTCTTCCTTCTCTGTGATATCTTGTAAAACAGTGGTTAACGCATCTATAAAGTTTCTAAGCCAGAATTGGATAACATGTTTCCTAAATAGGACTAGTCATCAACATTTCTTTTCTTCAGCTGTTTTTATTTCAATATCCATCTGAATCACTTCTCATATTTGATAGTGATTCAACTGGAACAATATTTATGCAAAATAGATCATTTTTAGGTTGATTTTGAAATAAACAAAATTTTGAGATGAGTTTGCTCAACTTATCACCATCAGTAAGGATATGTGCTACCTGTACTTCAGATTGTCCCATCCAGTATATCATTATTGCTTTATACATACCAGTACTTATCTACCAAACTATATATTTACATACATGTTGGATCTGACTCCCATTACTTCATATTGTCCCAGCCAGTATATCATTATTGCTTTATACATACCAGTACTTATCTACCAAACTATATATTTATATACATGTTGGATCTGACTCCCTTTACTTCATATTGTCCCAGCCAGTATATCATTATTGCTTTATACATACCAGTACTTATCTACCAAACTATATATTTATATACATGTTGGATCTGACTCCCTTTACTTCATATTGTCCCAGCCAGTATATCATTATTGCTTTATACATACCAGTACTTATCTACCAAACTATATATTTATATACATGTTGGATCTGACTCCCTTGTACTTCATATTGTCCCAGCCAGTATATCATTATTGCTTTATACATACCAGTACTTATCTACCAAACTATATACATGTTGGATCTGACTCCCTGTACTTCATATTGTCCCAGCCAGTATATCATTATTGCTTTATACATACCAGTACTTATCTACCAAACTATATATTTATATACATGTTGGATCTGACTCCCTTTACTTCATATTGTCCCAGCCAGTATATCATTATTGCTTTATACATACCAGTACTTATCTACCAAACTATATATTTATATACATGTTGGATCTGACTCCCTTTACATTATTTCATATTGTCCCAGCCAGTATATCATTATTGCTTTATACATACCAGTACTTATCTACCAAACTATATATTTATATACATGTTGGATCTGACTCCCTTTACTTCATATTGTCCCAGCCAGTATATCATTATTGCTTTATACATACCAGTACTTATCTACCAAACTATATATTTATATACATGTTGGATCTGACTCCCTGTACTTCATATTGTCCCAGCCAGTATATCATTATTGCTTTTTATACATACCAGTACTTATCTGACCAAACTATTGTCCCAGCCAGTATATTTATATACATGTTGGATCTACCAAACTATATATTTATATACATGTTGGATCTGACTCCCTGTACTTCATATTGTCCCAGCCAGTATATCATTATTGCTTTATACATACCAGTACTTATCTACCAAACTATATATTTATATACATGTTGGATCTGACTCCTGTACTTCATATTGTCCCAGCCAGTATATCATTATTGCAGTTTATCTACCATACCAGTACTCATATCTACCAAACTATATATTTATATACATGTTGGATCTGACTCCCTTTACTTCATATTGTCCCAGCCAGTATATCATTATTGCTTTATACATACCAGTACTTATCTACCAAACTATATATTTATATACATGTTGGATCTGACTCCTGTACTTCATATTGTCCCAGCCAGTATATCATTATTGCTTTATACATACCAGTACTTATCTACCAAACTATATATTTATATACATGTTGGATCTGACTCCCTTTACTTCATATTGTCCCAGCCAGTATATCATTATTGCTTTATACATACCAGTACTTATCTACCAAACTATATATTTATATACATGTTGGATCTGACTCCCTTTACTTCATATTGTCCCAGCCAGTATATCATTATTGCTTTATACATACCAGTACTTATCTACCAAAGCCTGAACTATATATTTATATACATGTTGGATCTGACTCCCTTTACTTCATATTGTCCCAACCAGTATATCATTATTGCTTTATACATACCAGTACTTATCTACCAAACTATATATTTATATACATGTTGGATCTGACTCCCTTTACTTCATATTTGGATCTGTACTTATCTACCAAACTATATATTTATATACATGTTGGATCTGACTTTACTTCATATTGTCCCAGCCAGTATATCATTATTGCTTTATACATACCAGTACTTATCTCCAAACTATATATTTATATACATGTTGGATCTGACTCCCTGTACTTCATATTGTCCCAGCCAGTATATCATTATTGCTTTATACATACCAGTACTTATCTACCAAACTATATATTTATATACATGTTGGATCTGACTCCCTGTACTTCATATTGTCCCAGCCAGTATATCATTATTGCTTTATACATACCAGTACTTATCTACCAAACTATATATTTATATACATGTTGGATCTGACTCCAGTAACATTAATCTACCAAAAGAATAGAGTTTATTGGTTTCTATGGCATCATCCCAGATGTTTCTCTTGCTGATGTTTACATTTTCTCAGATAATCCATGACCAACTCTATAAATTCTCACAAGTCAATGTGAGGTTGAGGCGTATAACAGGTATAAGTACCTGTACAGTGTCCCATGTGTGGTGGAGATTGACTGAGTGTGGAAGTGTTCACTTCAAGGGATTACCCCGAAATCAAATGATCATAAACTGTAAGTTTTGACCCCCAACTGACTTCTTTATGGTGATAGGGTAACTCCTTGTCCAAACCCAGCCATGCCTATATGTGGCTCTCCAATTGCATGGACAGTTACCTCCAGTGAAATCACTTGCCTATGTATTTGGAGTTTCTTTATATGTGTTCAGTGTTGAGGCCACAAAAAACTAGGTACATGTTTTTCTGCAATATTGTTTCTGCCTTACATTATGATTCTGATCTGAAATACCTGTGTGCTAGAGGGTGTATATTATCCCCACAACCTCACATGATTATATTATGTCCCCTCCAACCTCCAATGATTGTAAGGCGGTGGGGTATCCAAGTGGTTAAAGCATTCACTCGCCATGCTGAAGACACGG